TTATATATATATATAAAATTGCCTGAGCTTATGTTTAAACCATTGTTTTTTCCAGTTTTATACATTTGAGTTATTTTTTTATTCTTATTTGTTATTTATTTTTGCTTGGCTTCCCCCCATCCCTTAGTACCCTTGCTTTTCCTGGTTTTTTGTCACCATTCTGTTTGTATCATTGGTTTCTGTGCACTTTTTTCTCCAGTAGCGAAAAGGGTTTAGTTGCCAGATCCAGCCTGTACAGTCGACACATGGACATCAGACATGCTGGACTGTTGGACAGAAGGTCAGGTAAGATTTGATTAGCCATTTGAAATGTTGAGTTTAAACAATTTTACTTACAGGAGATTTTTAGTAATTAAATCCAGGTTTTCAGGTTCACATTACCATAGCCATTGAGTTATTGTATCCAAACTATTCATGAGTGAGTAGATTAGGATTTCTTTCAACTTTATGCAGAAAAGACAGACGTCATTGTCTTTGGTCCAGAATCAGTTATAATCTTTTCTGGATGAGATGAAAAGCTACACAGCCTGTAAAGACCTATGTGTCCTCAGAGACTCACATCAGAATTTGTATGTTTGAGAAAGAAATTTAGTAGAATAGTGTCCCTTTGCTGCACCATCCGGCAATTTTCCCTCACCTAAATCTCATTGGGAATGTTTTAGGACTTGAGGTTTCCAAAAACTGATCTTAGATAGAAGTACTTTATTCATCCCAACCGGGAAATTACTTCTGGAAATACTAGCATCAAGCGCTCCTCAGCAAATTTGTGAGGCGAACAAAAATAACTGAGTCTCTTTTCCTATTTTTTGTTTTGGGAATTTTTGGTTAACCTTTTGAATACTTGAACCCTGATTGAGTTTAAATGTTTCAGTAACTGATTATGTGTCTAAAAACGTAAAACATAAGTTACACTTCCAACAATTCAGTAACATGAAATGTAAATACTTGTAACATTTTTTGTGGCTTTTAGATTTTGAGGCTGGAAGGTGTGAAGTGTTTTTGTAACTAATATTTATTGAGTTAATTTATTTTCATCCTAGCAACTTTGCACCTTAGAGTCACTCTTATTGACTCCCTGTTTGGAAAAAGAAAACTACATGTACAATGTATAATGGGCCTACTGGTGGTTTTGTATGGAGGACCAATTCTGACATAGTTAAAACTATGTCAGAATTGATCATATTTTTGGTCATATTGAATTGGTCATTTTGGGCATGTCTGAGTTTTCAATTTGAAAACTCAGATATGCCACACTTTTTTCCTTCCACTCAACTTTCCAGATCCTTTTATCATCTTTTGTGGCTTACTTTCAATGAAAACAGTCAGTGCATTTCTGCTGGTAGTCTTCTGAGTGATTGTATTTGCCATAACATCAAATCAGAAAATACTGCAAACGACTAAAACATTTTTTTCATTTTCCCCCAATATAAATACGTATATATTGTTTTTCCTTTTTCTTACACACGTGTTTTGTCAAAAAATGTGTATGTCTTTTTTCGCGTTGTCCTTATACAGCGCAAAAGCATTTGTTTTTTTTACATTGCCTCGTCTTCTTATTTTGCTTTTTCTTATGCATTTCTGGCTCATTATGCAAATGATCAGGGCGGGGTCTTATAGCTTCAACTTCTGCGGCCGCTTCATCTAAACTATGAAAAACCTAACAGTCAACATTTGAGTCCATGAAACCGAAACACACATTTTATTTTTCCACACGAAACATAATTAAGTCAGGAGTTATAGTATTATTTTCTAATAAAGTTACTAAGCTTCAGCTCACTGAAACTGCTGGCCATCTTTGTTGATGCTAAGTATAGTTTAATGCTAACCAACCAATAGGCACCGCCCTGCTCATTTGCATGAAGAGGCAGAAATGCAGAAGGAAAAGTTAAAAAAAAGAGATGAGGCAATGTAAAAAAAACAAACCCTTGTATAAACTTATATAAGTTATCAGAACTGGTCTTCCAGAGTTTTCAGCCTCCTGATGTGTAAATACCCACTGCCTCCAGGTCGGACACCAATGGGAGATGAGACATATGCACTGGGCTGGAAAAATGGACACAGGTTGGCAAGTATTCACACACCACTGAGTGGACATTTACTGCACTTTACAGCTCTGCCTGTTGGTTTGGGCTTTGTGATACAAAGACAGTAAATTTGAGTGACTAAACCCGTGTGCAGAGAAAGTGTATGTGGCAAAAATATGTCATCAGAAAAAGACTGCCGTTTGTGTGTGGAATAAGTTTGGACACTTATAGCTAAAGTTAGGTATAAGGATGTACAGCAGGGGTGTCCAACGTTGGTCCTCAAGGGCCGGCATCCTGCGTGTTTTAGTTCTCTCCCTGGTTTAACGCACCTGGATCAAATGATGGCTCGTTAGAAGCCTAAGAAGAATTTTGACTTGCTGAGAAAGTTATTACCACTAAGGAGAGAACTAAAACATGTAGGATGCTGGCCCTCCAGGACCGACTTTGGGTGTGACCAATATGGCCCCACGCTTTGTTCTTATACAAGGGGGAGCAAACAACTCAAAAAGCCCAACCAACGGAACAATCAAATTTAGAATATTTTATTACAAAAAGGGTCACTTTCTAATAGCAACAAATAAAAGCAGTCCTTGTCTTCTTTACAAAGTCCAAAGTCCAATAATTGTCCTTAAAGGAAGTCACCAATCCGAGGTCGCCAGTTGGGCTCCACTCATCAAGCTGCTCCAGGTGACGGCAATCTGCCTATAAGGAGCTCACTTGCCGATCCTCAGCTGACTCTGCGACGTTACGGCACCATTCCGCTCTCCGGCGTGCCACGACCCTCTTCAGACTGACCCAGAGGCGCAGGCAGGTTCCCCTCTGCCCCGATCCTCTCTACTGAGCCATCGGCCCACCTCTCGGCGCCTCGCGCCTGGTGTGCAGATTCCTTCCGCCCCTCGCTCGACGGCGCATCCGTCTGGCAATCCCAGGATAGGTCTACACGCACCTCCCCTTCTTCCAGGTTCCTTTTATTCTGACTTCAATCAGCTTCTTCTGACACCTGAGCACACTGATTACAGAACGCAATCAGTGGGCTCCGCCTCCTAAACGGCCGCTTTCAGCCTAGTGCGTTTTGGTTGTCAAAGGGGAAAACAAGAAACAAAACAATACGAACATGCAAAACACAACAAAAATAAAATTAAACAATCATATTTTCCACTGTGCAACATCGGCACCCCTGATGTACAGTGTTAAACTGTGGTTTAGACCCTCCCTATAATTTGCAGACAATGATAAATTCAGGTCTTGTACTAAGCTTGGGCTCCTATCACCTTGCTGGTGACATTGGCTACTGCAAACAGATCTGCATCTGTGGAGCTCCATTCATAACAAAACATAAACAAGCTAAGGCTACAGCTCAAGCTCCTGAAGGAATGTTTGTGTCTTGCTCTTGGCATGTCTCTGCCTGCCTTCAAGGCCAGACACGCCTTGGCCAGAACACACCCTGGCCAAGGCCAGAACACACCCTTCAGCTGGCTGAGAGCTTAAAGGAGCATTCCTCATATCTCCCATCATTTCAATAAGGTTATTAAATACAGAATTTGTAAAAGTGATTTTATTTATGCTGCGGCAGTTATCTAATTGAAGTTGTCAGATGGCACATGGAAATATTTAAACAGCTTGCTTGTTTCCCCTCTACCCTAATGACCCCAGTACTGTCTCTGTGTTGAGCAGAGCCCAGCCTGGCCTGGCAGCACCGCCTGGACCTCAGAGTGATGATGTTTACAGCCTGACTACCACAGATGGCACAAAGAAGCACCTGGATTCAGCCACTGAGGCCCATGCAACTTCAGAGGAGACCAAAGTGTTGGACAATAAACAGAGCTCATCTGAAGGCAACTGCAAACCTCTGGAGAAAGATAATACCTTTCTGCCCATGACCAGTCAGACAGACTGGTCATGGGCAGTGGGAGGAAACTACTCCACTGCGCAATGGGTCAAGCAGAATCAGGTTTACAGAAGCACCCGCCCTTGGTGATCAGGAGCATCTAACATGGATGACCAAGATAAACACAGTAGCCACACATGGATTAGCCGGACTGCGGTATTAAATCAAGCAGAATGTTCCAAACCAATGTTTCTGAGTTGGTTGTTGACTGTGGAGTGCAGTTCTGAATCTGTGATAACTGAACAGCCACACTTCCATCATACTGTACTGTAACAGTTTTACTTTACATTCAATTTCAGTGAAGCCAAAATACTTGAGTCATTTGTTGTTATTGGAACGCCACAGTTTCCAATAACCTGACATCGAGGGGAAAATTTCACTAAATCCACTGGTCAGTCTGGTGTCACGTTAGGACTCCATGGTAGCACACTTAGTAGCCCTGTTGTTTAGCAGCAAGAAAGTCCTGAGTTCAAATCCCTGCGGTTCTTTCTGCATGGAGTTTACATGTTCTCCTCTTACATGTGTGGGTTCTCTCCAGGTACCCCAGCTTCCTCCCACAGTTCGCAAACAGGACCAGAATGCTGGAATAGAAAACTCTTTATTGAATTCATGTGTACCAGCAGCAAGCTAAAGGTAAACGGAAGTGTGCCAATTCAAACTAAGGCCAGAAAGTATTATAATTTTTTCTTATTAATTTATGAATTACACCAACTGCTGCTTCTAAATTCTCCTTAATTGTGAATTTGTGCGTGTATGATTATATGCCTTTGATGTGGTCAGAGTAGGACCAGTCTGTCAGACTGCCCAGGGCAGCTGTGGCTACTATGTAGCTAACCACCATCAGTGTGTGAATGTGTGTATTAATTGGTGAATGACTGACTCCAGTGTGAAGTCCTTTGTAATTATCAGACTTTACCATTTGCCTCGCCTCATGCCCATTGACCCATATGCGTAAATCCCGGGAGAATCGGGGGATTCCCCCAATCTTGGAAAAGTCTAGAACTGTCCCCCCCAAAAAAAAATCATTGAAGAAAATAAAATATTTTTCTATATAAACCCTGGTGCTTTAAATGTTACGTTTAATTATATCTCCCAGATATTCAATTCTATCTACCTGTTGGGCATGGCAAAACTAAAAAAGGCTTTAAAATAAAGCATAAGTTATATGAAGTTATAATTTAAATAGCCCGTAACTTGTATTGGGAGCCATTTCAATAAATCAATGTTCCTGAGGAATTTTAATAGTTACTCATTGAAGCTTTTTTATTTAGAACCTTAAAATTTTGTAAAGGTGTAGCAGAGATTAGATCAGTGAGATTGAAGAAAACTCGTATAGAAGCAACATTTGAGTTTTAGTTTTATTTCTCAATAGGTTGCTTACTGAGAAAAATACGTGTTTGATGTGCATTACTAGTCATTTTTGGTCCTGCAGCTTGAATGTGGTTTAAAAACTCTGTAAACCACATTTTACGTTACATTTCACTGTAACTTTGGCGACCCCCCACCCCAAAAGTGGTCTTAAGAAATTTTCCTGTTTATGGTCCTCCCCAATAATGAGATGGGATCTACGCCTTTGCCATGACCTCTGGATGGTACCTCATCAGCGACTGTTAAACAGCTTTCTCCAATGCTCCTGACTCAGTGAGTCAGGTATTGTTGGTAAATCTTTATTGGGGTTATTAGTGTGGATTTGTTTCCCAATTCTTTACATTATTAATACAAAACCACAATATTTGCATTGTTAGGTTTATTTATTCAGTTGGATTATTTGTAAATAATTGACAAAAAGTTGTCATGTTGATACAAGTGGTAACCATGGACCCTCTTACTATCTTAACAAAATCTGCTGAAGGATAAAAATAAACCCTTTAACTGCACTGTTCCAGTAAAGAGTGAGGAAGAGTCTGATGATGATAGTGAACCAAGCCAAACCTGTATCTATCGGCAACACGTCATCATGACAACCATCCTTTGTGTTCTGGGTGAACTCACCCTGTAACTTGACTTTGAGTATGAGGAACTGCTGCTTATCTCCTGTCAACATCTGGGTGTTTATACTTGCAGCACTTTGCTGATGCATTTCTTTATGTTGACTCATTCTGCTGGGGTTGTTCAACTTCTGACCTGTCCAAACAAATTCTTAAAAGCCACTATGATGCACATTAGCATACGTCGTTCAACTGTATTGTCTGCCTGATATGAACAGAAACGTCAATAAAACACTGACACTGTTTTCCTCCAGGGGTTTAAAGGAGATGAAGCGTGTAACACTGAGATACAGAGTAATGCTTATAGATGGGAACAGAAACTACATGAAGAAAACAATGTAAATCTAAAAATCTAAACATTAGCTGAGATCAGAGACTGATATGAAAATTAAAAGTGCATGCCACACCAACAGGACTGAATTACTTTTTCAGAAATTAATGAGCTTCTTCAGCAACTTCTTGCTTATTACCTTTTAGGGCTACGTGTTTTTCTTTTAGACTGAGCTAATTTGAAGTCTGAGTGGAAACATTCAGGTTTCTCAAGTTTCCTATTTGAGCAGCGCTGACAGAACTTTAACCTTTTCAACAGTTCATTCCTGCTTGGCTTGTTTTTTTCTTTCCAGTAAGCAGAGAACAAAACCCAGGCAGTGCTCAATGATCCATGGAGCTGTTCATAGAAGACATAATGTTTAGAAACAACTGCAGAACATTCAGTTCATGTTCAACTGATGGCAGGAAAATAACCTGGTGAATATTTATTCCAAAATCCTTGAAAAATGAGCAATTTGGTTCTTCAGTCAAGAAACTGCAGTAAGATTAAGTGTATATGCATATACTAGTACATACTTTATAGTATTTATACATTTTGACTAAAATGTCTGTTTTTACAATCTAACCACTTTTGCACCGATACAGTAACACTGCTCGTTCATTTTGTTTCAGCACATAACACTCGCAAATGACACACAGCCTTGATTCAACTCAAGATGACCTACAAATTTATACAGTCAGCCAGTGACAGCTGTGTTTAGTCTTTTTGACCTGTGCCTATCTTTTCATGGGATATCATTATATGCAGGTTATTTATGAGGCCAAAATGGGATCAAATTAAAATTGAAAAGCTAAAAGACTAAAAATGTTAACTTTTAGTTTTGTTTCTTTGCTAATGCATTAATTGTAAGGTAATTTATAAAACAACTGCATGATCTCTGCATGTTGCCTCATGGCTTAGATCACAAAAGTCTCAGTCATAAACCAAACCTCTCACACCCACTAAAAACATTTAGTTTTATTGAATGATCATTCAGTTAAATGGAAGTCCAGTACATCCATCTGTGATGGTGACAACAGTGGTTAGTCAATATGGACAGTTACAATTATAATATATTACAGTTATCTGAGGACTTGATAAAGGTGAGGCTCTGCTTTAGCTGTGTTGTTGAATGGTACTTGCTATTTTCTTAGAGTTGGGCAAACCAGGTTTTGCTAATAATTCCTTATTGATCCATCTCAGGCTCAGACAAAGAAGGGATCCCCCCCGCCCGAGTGCAAAATATTTAGTGTCCGATACTCAGAAGCAGTGGAGATCACAGAGCCTCTCAGATCGTCAGGCTTGTAAGGCTTCTATTCATCATCCTTTAGCAGAGATTGGTAGATGTTTGACTCCAGGAAACGTGGGTAACAATCTGTGTCCAGCAAAGAGTAGACGCGTTTCTGTGCTGGGAGCAGAGAGCTGCGAGAAGGAGCCTGCAGCAACTGGAGAGTCAAATCTCGAGTTTTACTGTCCAGGTTTACCTGCAAGAGAACAAACAGTAAATTCATGATCCTTGGTTTAAATGGCAGCTTCACCTGCTAACAAATTCCTTCATTGGTTTAGAAGAACAACTGAGTCCATAAGAAAACATGTTCTTAGATTCCACTCTTTGGCCATAAAGAAGTTTTACATTGTCGTAACAGCTGCAGCTTCCTGTGAAGGCAGTGTGAAGGCAGTGTGGTACCTCTCGGGGGGAGCCAGGTTGGATGTAGGTGGCACAGATGTGTTTAGCTCTTCTCTGCAGACTGAAGTTGTTGGATGAATGTCTGTATTGTTCACAGGCCAGGTAGAACTGAAGATTCTCCTCACTGAATTCAGAACGCAGGAATGCTCCAAACACTGCAACACCAACTAGCACCGGAGAAGAAACATAAGTGGGCCTCAGCTCATGTAACCTCCAGTAGAAAAATCTTCTAGAGATAAACCAAGTCAACTGAAGAAAACCCAGACTTTCTGTGAAGAGAGATCTTAATTGAGCAGGATAATGCAGGAGAAGATGATGGGCGGACTACAACTATGCTCACATGGTGTTGGGCTTATAAAATGTAAAAAAAAAAAAAAAAAAAAAAAAATAAAAATAATTAAATATAAAAATTTAAAAACACACTATAA